TATATTTGATTGACATCAATTTTATTTTATTGTTTGTAGACAAAGTTACATGGGGAATGGAACTTGAAACGTAATGCCATGAAAACCCAACTGCCACAGCATTGACTCAAGCCCGAGTCCTAACATCATTTGTTTTGGTTATTTTTTCAAAATTTATATAGTTCAAGCGCATTACTCGGACTCGATCGAATTAATCGGACTCGACGTCGGTCACAGTACCTTTGACGAATTGTGTTTCATAACACGGTTTTCAACTTTGTTGAGGGAGGAAAAGAGATGCGCCACAAAGGCCACGCTCAACATTAAACCAACAACGACTTTTTCATAATGACCACTCAACAACCCCGGCACGTGTGGACCCACACATGTTTTGGACGCATGTGCAAAAATGGCACGTGTAGAGAGCGTGTCCCTCCACAACTGCAGCGTGCCGACAGCCAGTCGAACTCAACCACCACTAATTGCACAATACGTAGCCTTTGTTTATAAATTTAAAACATAAAAAGCAAAAGTCATGCATGCAACAATGCACAAGCAATCCTGTTAATTGTGCATTAGCAAACTGAGAATGCACAAGTAATCCTGTTAATTGCGCATTAGCAAACTGAGAATGATTAGTCAGCACTAAGATATGAGCAAGCACACTATGCTCCTGCAGGAGCATATATAGCAGTGTTAGACGAACCAACAGGGTCAAACCGGACCAGGCCTAGTAGTGTTAGACGAACCAGTTGGGTCAAACCGGACCAGGCCTAGTAGTGTTAGACGAACCAGTCGGGTCAAATCGGACCTGGCTGGGTTACACGTAACCGGCCCATGGGCGGGTTAAGCTTGGTTTTGGTGGTCAAGGTCCCAAGTTTGAAAAAAATATATAAAAAGTTATTTAAAAAAATCTCAAAAAAGAAAAAGAAAATTATTTGTAATATATTTCTATATGTTTTCTATCATTTGAGCAAATATTGAAAAGTATTTGGCCATGAATACTTATTTTTATATTTTTTTCTTAATTGTTGGATTATTTCGAAATTACCTTTGGTCACGAATTGATTTTTCAAAATTTATTCTTTTACCACTTTTTAAACCTCATTTAGAGGTTTTTTTTTTATTTAATTTTACTTTAGAAGTATTTTTCTTATTTTTTGAATTTTTTTATTTTTTAAACACTTTTTTGCTTAGCCTCTACTTGCCCGGCTCGGACAGGTTACTCAGACTGGGATCGGGTTACCTGGACCCAGCCCATGGCCAGGGTTCGTCCCTGTTCATGTTTTTCCAACACCGACATATGATATATATCTACTCCCTTGGTTAGGAGACATACCTGTTAGGGTTTACTAATCTTATATATTGAAAAACACCTTATTAGAATCACTAAGTGATTATTTAAAATAAAAAAAAAATGGAATTTTGAGTTTTTTAACACTTAGATCTCACCATCCAAAATTTGGATGAACTCCATTGAATCTTGAGACATTACTTTTTTTAAAAGTACATATTACAATTTGAATTTTTTTTTTTTTTTACTTGTGTTAATCTATAGTTCGAAGATATTATGTTTCCAAAACTTGAGATCCTATAATTACTCCTCGATTGAGTTTTGCTTGAGGGGAGTCATGAAAAATCTTTTGGCTTTAGAAATAATAAATATGACGGATTCAGCCATTTGAGCTAATTTATGGTGGAGCAACCTCATGCACTTGCCTCCCTAACCACCAGGGCTCCAACCTCATTCCCTTCTAAGCAAATTGGTCACACCAAACATACAAAAAACTAATATAAGAAAAAGTTTATATAAGTTTGCAACCTTAAATGGTAGAAAAAAGGTATGCCTCCAAATTTATTCAAAAAGTTATTCAGATGTTGAAAAACTCTCTAATTGATCATCTCAACCTCAATATGTACTGATGTGAAAGAAAAAAAAAAAAGATTTTAAAGCCCTAAAAAATGTATATCTTGTAATACATCATCAAGACTGTCCACTCTCAAGATTTTCATCTACTTTAGATATGCTTGATCGATACCATTTTTTTAGTTTTAAGTTTCATAATTAGATATGCGATAGATTTTTAGGTCATCATTGAAATTTCCAACACCAAAATCATATCTTTTGATGAGCTTTTGGGGATGCGCTTTATTTAGATTATTTGAGGTTGATACCTTATTATACAAACCACACTAAGGAATATAAGCTAACCTTCTAGAGGATTAAAAAGCACGCAAAGAATGCAATAATGGTAAAATGAAAAGGTTTTTCTTATTTATTGTTGATTAAAAAAAAAAGGTTTATAAAATATTCGAAGTTTATACAGGACCTACGCTAATTGTTCCCTCAGGTTTAACTCAATCCGGGAACATTGAGGATGTTAACCTCCACGACCTAACAATGAAGTTCAAAGAACAAAAAATTCATAAGCATCACGTTAAGTGTTTGAAAAAAAGTAGCTTCTTGATTTAGAATTATATTTAGTCAAACTCTTAATATAATACTATTTTAGTTATTTGAAAGTAGATCTTATAATTTAATATAGAAAATTTCTTCTTAAATGGAAAAAGTTTATACAAGATTGTAAAATAAGAAGTTGCACTAATCCATATGTCTATTTACAGGGGTGTGATTTGTATAAGGTTGGGCCCCTAAACAATCAAAGTAAGGCTCACATTCAAATAGTATTGAAAAATGTTGTTTCAGTAATAGAAATATTTGTTATGGTTTGAAATTTATTTTCACCTCTGATTATAAAATTTATTTGTTATGGTTTGAAATCTATAAACACTTGAAAATTGACGACCCATAAAAAGCATTATAAGATGTACTATTTCCAATACTTGAAGTGTGCCTTAGTTTAATTGTTTAGGGCCTTAGCCTTATATAAACTTTTTCTCCATTTAAAAGACATGCTAAATCTAAAAGTCAAACTATAATAGACCATATAAAACATTGCAACATTATATAAACCTCGCCGTTCTTAAATAAGCCTTTACCCGAGGAAGTATGCGTACAATATATTCCTATAAGCGTATATAAGATAGGGATTGTCTACAAAGATACCATTTATCTTTTGTATCACAATCATTCTCATTCACTAAATGTCAAATTGGATGACTTGAGGTGAGTCACGAAATTCGATACTTTTTGTAGAACTTTATGTCTATTCAATGACAGTGTGACAACCACCCACTTTGAAATTTAAAGAACAAAAATTATTGCAATTTCTATATACAAAAGATAAATAGTTTCTTTATAGACAATCCTTATAAGATAACTTATTATTTGGGCCGTATTATTTGATTGAAACGAATGGTAGTTGCCCGGGTGCACCATATATAAGACAACTCATTACTTTATTTATAAAACAATTTTGATCCAACAAACCACTTTGTTCGGGGATCTATAAAACAAACAATATTCTCAAATATATTTATTTTCATGTTCCTACTATTCCCATTTGCTCCTAAAATATCACCTTTTTATTCTGAAATTTGTTTCCCAAAATTGGCACATTTTTTTACCTCAACTAGCAATTGCACAAAATTTGGTTTTGAAAAAATTACATACATATCCATTATACTTTGCATTATTATGGATGTAACAAATAGTTTATGTTATTACAAGTCCTGTTTTTTACCTTTTATAACGTAATTTTTTTTAAAAAAGATTATCTTACCCTTTTTCGGATGTTGAATAACCGAATTGCAGGGTTTTTCGGATGTTCAACGTTCGAAAAATAGCCTGAAAGTTTAACGTTCACATTCCCATTTTCGGGTGTTGAACATTCGAATTGAAGGGTTTTTTGGATGTTGGACATCCGAAAATGGTTTCGGATGTTGGACATCCGAAAATGTCATATTTTTCGGATGTTCAACATCCGAAAATATGAATTTGAATTTTCAGAAAGTATATAGAATTTCGCAGTCATTTTCGGATGATGAACATCCGAAAATATGTCATTTTCGAATATCCAACATCCGAAACCATTTTCGAATGTTCAACACCCGAAAATGTCATATTTTCGGATGTTCAACTTCCGAAAATGTAATATTTTCGGACGTCCAACATCTGAAACCATTTTCACAAGGAATACAATGTATCGACATAATCCTTCAATTCGTATATTCAACACCCGAAAATGGGAATGTGAACGTTAAACTTTCGGCCTATTTTCTAATATTGAATATCCGAAAAACCCTCAAATTCGGTTGTTCAATATCCGAAAAAGGGTAAAGTCATATTTTAAAAAAAATTACGTTATAAAAGGTAAAAAATAAACATACATATAATAACAAAATCTATTTGCTACATCCGTAATAACACAAATATAATGAATATTTATGTAATTTTTTCTTTGATTTCTAGACACCATGTTCTCATATTTAAAACAAAAATATTATATCTTTTGAAAAGCAATTCATTGCCTCCCAAAGAGGGAAAAAAAATATGCTCATATGATTTCTACAATGATTTTGCCCTTGCCTCTCAATTAATAAAGAGCCATTTATCGGAAAAAGTTTATATAGTATGTGAATTCCATATTATTGAAATAAGGTATACATAAAAAATCATATAGAAGCGAGCGTTTCAACATTGGAGATATATAGATTTTTGAAGAAAATAAGAATTTTAAATCCTAAAAATAACACACCTTTTAATAAGTTCTCTAGGATGTCTATTTTTTAAATTTTTAAATATTTGTAGATCTACTCGTTCTGTAATATTTGAAAAAAAATTAAATTTGACAACTAGGAATGAGAATAGATTTTTAAGATCATAAGTTTTTGGAAATTGTAACTATATCCTTGGCAAAATTTGAAAAGTGTGCCTTACTTCTACAGTATAAGCCCTGCGCCTTACAATTCTCACCAATTTTTTTAAATTTAATAATTTATTTCAATAGAATAAGAAAATCCACTTGTCACTTTGATAAAGAATGTATTTCAATATTATCCGAAAATCCACGTGTCACTTCATACTTGTCCATATGCAGAGATAGGACATGAATGCTTACAGATGGGACATGCATGTAGGTGCATACATGTCGGCAGCTGAAGCGGCTAAAACAGGGCACCGGGTGATCCGCCATGGTCGGCTTCTTTAAGCTCAGAGATGCCAGATTTTGCACTAACCCTAATTTTTCTATTCTCTCTGACCCAGACGTTTGCCTTGATTCTCTGAAACCGTAAATTTTTTAGTCTCTTTGTTGCTTCCTTTATCGTATTCTGAACCCTGTCATGCCTTGTACACAAGCTTTTCAGATGTTCGTTTTTCGCGTTGTCTTCCTTTTTCGCTTTAATACTAGGTTTTTAATGCGATTGGAGTGCTTGTAATCTGGGCGTTTGCTGTTTTGGAGAAGTTCATTTGCTTTTTGGGTTTTTTTGAAACGTTGGACAGGATCGTTTCTTGGAGCTTGAGTTTGTGAGGTTCTGTGATCTAGGGTTTTGCAGGTTGGGGAAAGGGTGCTGTGGCTTCTGAACTCAGTTTTTAGGTTTCTGATATTTAGGACTTTTACAGACCAGAGGATACCTGTGGCTTTTCAGCTTGGGTTTTGAGGTTTTTTAGTCGTCTAGGATCTTTACAGGTCAGAGGAGGTAGTTCATTTTGGATTTTAAGTTGGTGTTTCAGACTCTACAGTATCTGGTGTTTATTCATTTCATGAGTGCTGGGTGATTGAGCTCCAGGGACTCGGTGAAATTCGCAGGATTTGCTGTTATTTTGCGGGAGAACTGTTAGATATTTCGGAAGAGATGGGATTGTTTTGTTTTTTATGATTAGGAAGATTTGGCCATGGGGTTTGTTGTTGGTTTGGTTTTAGGTGTTGTGTTTGGTGTTGCGTTGGTAGTCGCTTTTGTGCATTGCGAAAATGTGCGTTCGAAACGACGCACTGAACTTGTAAGTGCTTTTTTGTAATTGATTTTCTGTCTCTACTATTCTCTGCTTAGTTTTATGTAATGATTCAGTCCTGTTTAGCAAAAGCTGCATGTTTAAGGTTTGTCTAATGTTTAGTCATGATTATTATACCTGTTTGGATGCCACGCTTCAATTGTCATATGTGGATACTGTGAGAAATTTGAATTTGTGGATACTATCAGAGATTTGAATTCCCTTTCAAAACATCCATAATTTTGAAATTTAAATGACATCGACGTCTGTTCGTATTGTGAAATTGTTACCATTGTGCCTGCAACTTCCCCTCATCCACTGGGATCCATATAATGAACCTTATACTATTGTTTGATGGGTATTTTCATGAATTTTATATCTATCATTTCTGCATTATTCTCACCACACACCACCCCCCCCCCCCGAGGGAATGTTTTATCATTTCTGTGTTGTCTGCAATCTGTTTATCATTTCCAGGATCAGTCATGCTAACATTGCAAGTATAACTTATCATACATTTCCATGCAGTGAATTTGTAAGAATCTTGTTGAGCGATTTGATAAAAAACTTGCGTCAAGTTTGGTTTCAACAAGTCACAGAAGAAAACAAGACCATCAGTTTGATTTGGATGGCATTATTGACAAGTTTGATTTGAATGATGTTGTGGACATAAGTCATTAAATCTCGAAGAACTACATGTGGCGGCTAGGGATTGTCAGTCCCAGCCATCAGATTTGAAATCTCTGGCTAGAGATTCTCACAAAATTCAAGAGAAAAGTTCTTAGACTTTGAGAACTGTCTATAACACATCCTTCAGAACCATCTGATTTCATATTTTAGGGTGACTGTGACCTTCTCGTGCCCATAGTAAACGATATTTCTCCTACCAATACAGTGGCCGGGGAAATTCAGAACATATTGATATTCAATCATTACACTCGACAAATAGCCAAAGGCATAACTTTCCTCTCTAAGAGGGTTCTACACAAACTAACACGGACAACAAAACAGAAAGGGAAAGATTTTGAAAGAGGTTCTCTATCTCAATGTAACTCACATTGATCATATTCATTTCTTGGAACTTACTATTCGTATTTCACAATCCATGTCTACGAATAGGCTAAATTTCCTTTTGGTGGTCAATGTTTCTCTCCAATCACATCAGCACTAGAACCTTGGAATTCATGTGAGTGGTGTAATGATATAAAATAAGTAAAAAAATTGGCAAAATCCAGGATTATAGACAAGTCTGGAAAAAGTGAATGTTATTTATCTCCGTCTAGGTTGACTAGAAAAGCATGAACAAGGTTACAATGAGAAGAACACAAAATAGCAGTAAAAGGAAGGAAATAGACCTAATAGGAGCATGCATGTGTATCTAAGGATGGCGTCGCATACAAATCTGCCTCAGCATTGAAAATACTAGTCTCTTGATGTATGAAATTCAAAGAAGAACTAGAAACAGCAATATCTCAGGCCAACACAAGCAATCTCTTGGAGAAGTCCGAGGGTTGTCCTACAGGAAACCCTAACCAGGGATTTCAGAGCATCCTTCTTTATTTCAAAATCATGTCAATCTCCTCACAACTCTCTTCCAATTCCTATTTATAATAAAGACCTTACTTAGACCCCGAGAAATCTTAAATTATTATTAAAATAAATGACCTAGTTAAAACCAAATTTGTAATGAGATTTTTACCTCTAATAAAATAAACAATCCATAAGTGCTCTGACTACTTTTCCAAGCCGTTGCTAAAAATCCTAAAAAACTAAAAAAAAACTCTAAAATCCATAAAAAACTTAAAAACTAAAAAAATAAACCCGAAAAATCCATCCTTGAATTTTAATAGGAAAACTTCAAAAATACAAGGCATTTGCACCTGCTTCATGTCTTCCCCTGCATTTGGTGTTGCAAGCATTTCATGATCTTTCAACTACTCTTTTATCATCTCTCATCTACTTTCTCTCGTTTTGAATGTTCACGTCTAGTTTCCTCTTCAAAAAATAAAAAAAATAAAAAATGAAAACATCCACATATCATTTTGCCAATCAGATTGGGATGATTGTTTTACTGGATTAGCAATTCTCTTGTGATTATATTTCTATCTATCTTGCTCGTATTTAGTTCATTTAAGGTAATTAAAATTTTGACTGACACAGTTTGTGACAGGCTGTTGCTCTGGCATCATTTGCAAGGATGACAGTGGAAGATTCAAGAAAACTTCTTCCTCGCGAAGCTTATCCTTCATGGGTTGTTTTCTCCCAGCGACAGAAGTTGAGTGAATGATGCTTTGTCGATAACCTTTACCCCTTTTTTTTTTTGGTGCAGCCTTGTTTCCTCATTCTTAGATGCTGATATGCTTCTTGTCTTCTGCAGTTGAATTGGCTTAACTATGAGCTTATAAAGCTCTGGCCTTATGTGAATGAGGTAGGCTTCCACCCTATGCACATTTTATTCTCACATGTCTGTGTTGTCCATTTTAATTGGTCGGTCCAATCTTTGGTTCCTCTGTGTGGTTCTATTGCTTCCTATAATTTGGCATGGCAAGATTTACTTTCTGTGCTAGTGAAGTTCTCACTTTTGACAAATGTCATAACAGGCCGGATCAGAGCTGATAAAAGCTTCAGTAGAACCTACTCTTGACCAGTACAAGACGGTCTTCCTAACTTCTTTGAAATTTTCTAAGCTGACTCTTGGCACTGTTGCTCCCCAATTTACAGGTGAGCTTTGAGTACTTGTAGGATTAAAACTAAATGAAAATCCTGTTTAAAAAAAATCTTGTCTGTTGCATTGCATATACAAATGCTGGATTATGTATCTTCTTATACCGATGACTATTGGCATGGATTCTTGTTGGAAGTTCTTACATCCAGAGAATTTTTGTTTTTGATAATAACATCGAGAGAACTGTTATGGAATATATTAATTGATTTGCAGTAACTTGAATGAAAGATACCTTTTGACATAAAAGGCAAGTTTTAGCTGCTGCCATATTTTCCTTGTTGGCGCGTTCTTCCATTTACATTGAGGTTTTCCCTAGGAAGTGCACAAGTTCATAACTAATGCCTGGAATCTGGTGTAAGTCTAGTGAATTGTTTGTATCTTCCTTCTTCATTGGGATGTTCTGATTTACTCTTAGTGCTTGGCCCTTTACCTTCTCCAAGGGTAGTCCCGTTTACAATAGGCTTTGCCTCAACAAACACTCCTAAGGCATCTGCCTTCTGAAATGGTTTTCATTTTGACAAAGAGAGGTTGGGGCTACATCTCCCAAAAATGAATATTTGCTATTAATAAAAACCCTTGTCTGCATCAATGAACCTTCCACAATCCATATAGCTTACCTAGTATCATAAATTTAGCTTTAGACTAGCTCCATAGATGTCCATTTGGAAGAACCTAAACTGTTGCATGGTCCATTCATCTTTCATCTCAAGTCATGGATGCCACCTTTTCAAGAATAGAGAAACCTCAGACATTCTGTGAACTGCATTTTTTGGTAATCTTCATCCCTCTTGTTCAAAGTGGAGTTGGAAGAGCAAAAAAATCATTGCATAGTTTCCTATCCTTTACTTGATTGTTGTTTCCCAAGCGGTAGACGCCTTCCTACTCGAAGCGACTGCCCTTCTATCACAAGTGACATGATCGGTGCTCATTTTTTCTCTTGTCGACCAAATCCCCCTCACCATCACAACTTTCTCCCTGAACTATTTTTTATCTATCCCTTATCCTAAGATTCCAAATTATGAGAATATATAACTTTTCAGACTTCTATATGGTTTTTTACTCCCCCGGGGGGAATCCCTGTGGATGCTTGTTTGTCAAATTTGGGTGAATCTATAGCACGGGTACATGGACCTGCTGCTAATGTGGTGGTGTTTGTCGAATTCTTTTTTTTTTTTCTTTGAGCAAGTTATGCAATGTCTTTTTTTGGACAATATTACTGCATTTCGGGTTCATTATTCCGATGCATTGAATTTGGTGCCAGTTTGTTTTGTATTTAGCACTGTACATATTAATGTTTCTACCTGAGAACAAGCTGGAGCTACAGAAAGTTGCTTAGCAGAGAGTGGTAGAGCTTATGCCTCCTATCCAAGAGGTCTTCAATTCAAACCCAGGCGCGAGCATCATTTTGATAATCAAAACAAGTTGTAGATACATCTAGAGAAGCTATCATTAGAGATAAGCATTTTTTATTTGTAGTGAGGGTCTTGCTACTTGATCTCTATATGGAACTATTTTTATTTGTCGTTTATTGTTGTCAAAATTCTACTCTGGCCGCCTCCCTGCCAGTCATGCCAATTCTAAGCCCAGGTAGAGGAGGGTTGTATTAGGTAGGCAGCCATCGTAAAATTTGTCGCAACTTTCTAGAGAATTTACCTGTAAGCGACACACTGTATCGACACTCGGGTATAGTGAGAAATGAGCAAGAGTTAGCTAAGGCGTTCCCCATAGGCAATGCGGCGCCTCCTAGTTGCAGTGAAAAATATGTTGGGTTTTGTGGCCTTTAAAGGCACAGAGAACTTGTAAATATGATATCTTATAGTTGAATATGCATTTCTGTGGGAGTGCGTGGGTTGACTGATCAAGGCTTGGGCTGTTTATAGCCTTAGTCATGTTCAAAACCCTTGCCCTTGGGCATGTGGCACTACCGAGAAGGGTTTACAACAGTGTTTTAAAATGCGGGATGTGGCCAAAAGTGGTAGGGGGGGGGGCCGATACGGCGATGCAGCTCGATGTGGTGCATCGGCGCTCATGCTGTCAATAGATATAAAAAAATTCTAAAAAATCTCAAAAAATAGGTTAATGCATCAAAAATATATGGAGGTGATATATATGATAATAGGTATTTTAGTTTACTGATTAACTCCAAAAAAATTAGCTATCAGAGATTCTGAATCCACTATCCCCTGATACAAACTAGAAACTAGCTTCACAAAACATTCAACAATCAATAACCATAAGCACAAATTTGCAACTACAAACTTTAAAGTTACAAAATAGTGATACTACAAACCAAAAGTCCATGTCTCCATGAAGATTAAAGAGTTTTGAAGTCAAGGTCAAGAAGAGTTAATGCAATCATCCATTCATCATATAAGTCATGTTGAGAGTCAATTTTGAAGTCAAAATTTCAAATTTTAATCAGAGTAGTCATCTTGAGAGTTTTCGTGTGCCTCGTCAATATCTTCCTCAACGGCCTCCACGTATTCTTCTTCCTCGGTCTCCTTTGAGTCAGCCTCCTCCTCCGTGACCTCTGAAGCTAATGTGCGAGTGCGACTAGACCCAACTCCTCTACTCCTTGTGCTCTAGTGTTAAGTCGATCTTCTTCATTAGCCCCTGTTGCTAGCTCGACATCGAGCCCTGTAAGATCCTCACCCTCAAACACATGTTTTAGTCTTGGATCCGTGGTCCACTTGATTGTGTAATCACCATCAGCTTCATACAATTGAATAGGGTTGAGCTTCATGCGATTTTGATACCTCTCCCTAAGCCGCTCGTTATACCGCACATGAACCAAATCATTCAACTTCTTCTGCTCCAACCTATTTTTTTTTTTTGGTATGGAGCTGTGGTATAAAATTGAAATTAGATAAATTAGATTTTAGATTAGAAAATTGAAAATTGAAATTGAAATTCAAGAAATAAAGATTAAGGAATAAGGAATTAAGGACTTACACGTTCAAATACACTCCAATTGCGTTCACAACCAGATGAGCTACATGTGACATTCAACACTCGAATAGTGAAATGTTGTAGACTTGGTGTCTCGCTTCCTTATAATACCCACCATGCAGTTGTAGAATATCTTATAATTTAGATTGTAGATAAAAATGAAGGGCAAACAAATAGACAATGGAACTATACATAAGGTCATAGACAACTAAGGGTACTTTTGGCCTTTACCTGGATCTGTAGTGTCCCTATTTCAAGTTACAATCTCTCTCCCAAAGTTTCCTAAGCCTAACATGAACTTAATCAATTCATGGCTTTGGATCTCATCTTGGATATCTTTGTTAGGCACCAACCTCTCAAGCACATCTAAGAACCCACCATTTATTACATGATCTGACTCAATGGATGGGTGCTTGTAGTGAAGAGATGGGTTTAGAAAGTAACCGGCTGAATGGAGGTGCATGTGAAGCTGGGTATCCTATCTCCTACCAATTATTTCAAGTATAGCCTTGCGCTCATTTTCATCATCCTTTAAAACATTTTTTATCTCTGTTCTTGCCCTGGTCATTGCCTCATGTATGTAGCCCATGGCGGGCTTCAGTTGAAGCACTCTCACACCGGTTAGGAGGTGTGATTTGGTTCAAGTAGAAGGCTCTAAAAGGGCAAGAGAAAGAGGATTTTCTTAGCCAACCACAAATAATTGGGATAAGGCTCTGATGATAATGATGATTTATTGTTGTTGTCTTGTTGCATTATTGTTGCTGCATACTAGTGGTGGTTATTATTATTATCGTTGCTGTTGTCATTGTCATTGTCTATGTTGTTATCATTATCGTTAGGGCGATTACTCAGTTTCAGGTACATTGTAGGAGAGTGTATGCAATCTGTGCCACGTCGGAGACTGTCCACTCATGATGCAAGCATATATCGAATGGAACGGGGACTCCAATAATTACGGGGTGGGACTGAAGTAGGACCAAGAAGTACATTTATATGCATCTGTATCTTGAATGGGTGTGGTCCTTTTTATGGTGTAGCACTCATTTGACTGCTGCATGATGTGTGCCCTTATGTTGTAATAACTAAAACTTGTAATCATATCTTAGTATTCTCCCTTGTAATAACTTGCATATGCACTCCAATAGTTCCCTTTGTTGTATGATCCTTCTATCTTTCTGGTTAATAGACTTTCAAATCTGATTAGCTCACATGTCCATGATTGGGTGAACATGCATCTAACAATGTGGATTTTTTGCACTTTGTACATGCTAGAGAAAGTGGATCTGGTTGTCCCACCTGCTACAGTGAAAACGTCTTATTTTATTCTTCGATTGATTGGCAGCTTCTACCTATACAAATGAAAATGTAGCCAAGTTATGGATCTTTCGCGGTGGTTAATGTTTTTTCAAACTGCATAGTTCTCATTAAAATCATGTGAATATTAAAGTACCTTTTTATATTATTAAAAAGCTATCTACTGTTGACATATATGAATTCTGTGATACTCATGTTTTAGAAATGTGCTTTAGGAATCTCAATTGTAGAAGATGGAGAGAATGGGATCACCATGGAGTTAGAAGTGCAGTGGGATGGGAACCCAAACATTGTATTGGATATTAAAACAAAACTTGGTGTCTCTCTCCCTATTCAGGTACTCATGAGAAGTGTTTTTTATTTGTCATCTTTGTTAGTGTATTGGAGAGCAATTATCGCAACATTTAAGAAATGCTGTGTTTTTCAATGAAATCTCATTGTTCGTTATGTTAGCTAATAACTTGCATGTTATACTCACTTATTTGTTAATGTTGGCCACTAGGCGAATGTTTATGCTCAAATTTCTGCTATAATGCTGTCATCAGGCTACCTTGGTGTATCTAAAATGCATTACTGGAACTGTTATATACATCGTTTACGAAGTCAGGATCTATTAGCTAAGCAGTTGAATGTTTATCATTAGTGGAGTCTTGGGTTGTTCTCCGAAACTTGTGTAGACAAACTCTTGGAGTTGGTAAAGGTTTCTTCTCCAGCATATAAAATTTGTTAAGAAAATGTAAGTTTTTGTTGTGTTGATAGGAGAAATTACCTTTGGAAGAGTAGAATACCTCGATGACACAGGATGGTGATAGTCGCTATTATATTGATTGGGCTGATTGATTTATAACCAAGGGGCTCTGCATAAGTCCATAAATTAACTTTTTGAAGTTGACGCTCACAAACAGGGGGCATATAGTCTCGAAAACGTTTAAGTTGCTCCATGTGGAGCCTATCATGAAGTATGCTTTGAAAGTGCCTTCTTTATATCCATTTCTTTAATCATTGTGGCCTCACATAATAATAACTACTACTGCTTTAAGGGGAGATGATTTGAAAGAGGGTACTAGACGGGCTGTAGAGGCTTCCACTCCAGCGTATGGAAGTTGTTGAGGAAATCTTAAATTTTGTTTTGTATAGAGGAGGTGGTACCTTGGAAGAGTAGATTACCTCAATTCCCGAGGGTGGAGATAGCAGCTATCATATTGATGACATAACTGGGTTGTTTCTAGTGTTCCAAAAACACATTGGGTGGCAGCCTAGAACCTAAGTTGAAGAAGAGGATCAAGGGGCAGGAGAATATGTGTATACAACATAAAACATTAAAAATCTCATAATCCAAAAAATTCCAAACCATTGTATATTCATAATGGATAGATTACTAGCACAAACAAAAATAAGATGTAATAGTAACCACTAAATTAGTAATACAGGCACAACCCATAATCCATACTCCATAGACCATACTCCATGATCCATAGTTCATATCATTCAACAATCCATATTTTCATACAATGATACAACCATACAAGCATACACATAAGAAGAGATAGTAGAAACTAAAAATAAGAAAAAGAAAATATACAGTCTAAGACTCAACACCATGAGTCTAGTGTCTTTAGTCACCATCATAATTATAAGGAGTAGGGTAAGCCTCATCATATGCATCGTATTCGAAGTCATCATCATCAGAGTCATCTCCCTCTTCAACATAATGCTAGTCCTCTGTTCCTTCTGAATCTACCTCTTCCTCGTGTTCTATCTCCCTCTTACTCTGTGCTCCCTCTTACTCTGTGTAGATGAGGCCTTATGGGTCTTGGCTGCTCTACTTGGTGCCTCTTCACCCTTTTCTTGTTTTTAGCGTTTCACTGAACTTAAATATTGTTTGATCCCTTCCCTGGTAGCCTCAAGAACATTTTACACGAGGCAACATCCCCCTTAGTACCGGGAAAGTGTTTCTTGAACCGGTAAATGTCCTCATTAGTATCCTTTCCACAATAATTACACCTTATACAATTTTTGTCATTCAGATTCAGGTTATGACCGTACTTCCAACTCGATCACCACTTCTAGAAGAACCTGGAGAAGATATTTGCATATAACATGGCTCATTTTCTTCCCTTTTTGATTTTACTAAATGTAGATCTTGTCTAATCTCATCTCTAATAGCTTCAAGAACTTATTCACAAGAAGAAACATTCCCTTTAATATCGGCTAGGTGTTTCGTGAATCGGTTTATGCCCCCATTGGTATCTTTTCCACAAAAATTACACTTTATACAATTTTTTTCGTTTGGTTCGGGTTATAACCGTACTTCCAACTTGGATCACCTCTTCTAGCAGAATCAGAATTAGACCTATCCAAATGATAAGGCTTTTGTTTATGTTTGTGTTTTACTGAACTCATATAGCGTTTAATCTCCTCTTTGATAGCTTCAAGAACATTTTTACAAGGGGCAACATTCCTCTTAATACCATTATCAAAATAAAACATTCCTCTTAATACCAACAAGATGTTTTTTAATCTGGTTTATACCTCCTTTTGTATCATTTTCACAATAATTGCATCTTATGCAATTTTTATCCAAAAGATTCGGGTTATCGCCATATTTCAAACCCAGATCACCATTTCAATTAGATCCTGAAGAAGACGTCTCAAAATATTACAAGCAATCTAAAAAATAAAATTTTTCACTAACCTTGATTGCTCGATCTCCAAACTTCCACCTCTGAGATATTTTTTAATGTCAAAGTCTTCTAAACCACCCTCTAATAGACCTATAAAACCTCCAAAACTAAATCTAATATCAATGGGTGATATCTAGATCGATTTGTCATAACTTTGAGAAACCCCTCGATCCTATGACAATTAATTTTTTGAGGGTTTTTCCTCTCGAAAATGGGCTCTAATGGGGTTTAGGTTTTAAATGAACCTAAAACCCACCTTTGTCGCCTTTTATTTTTAAGAAAGAACCCAAAGATGCCCCTGGATGGGGCGCTGGCCTTGGGCTAGGCACCCTAGTGCCTGGGCGGCCTCCTAGGGGCGGACAGCCTATTTTGGCCGCTTAGGCGCTTCATTTATGACCAAGGGGCTCTGCTTGAGTCCACAAATTGCTTTTTGAAGCTGGCATACAAACTAGGTGTGTATAGTATCAAAAACCTTCATGTGCTTCATATGGAGCTTACTATGAAGTTTGCTGTGAAGGGGCCTTATTAACATCCATCTCTTTAATCTTTTACTGGCTCTCTTAAGATAAGAATGATGATGATATATGAAAAAATGATTATTTGAGAGAGGGCACCAGACTTTCTCAGGTACTGGATTAGGAAGAGAATATACTGGAGGTAGCCTTTAAACAGTTCTGAGAATGTTTTAGTTAGATGGAGAAGAGACTAACGGTAACACATCAATGTGTGTCACCATGGATAAGTGGTTGTTTATTTTTGTTCTTTTTGTGGGTGAGGGTATTGGTTGTTGTTGATTCATGGGTGGCAAATAGAGCACCCTCTCTTGGGTGCTTGTCTGGCAAATTGTACAGCCTCTCTTGGATGCTTATCTGGCAAATTGTACAGCCTCTCTTAGATGCTTGTCTTTCATAAACTCTTATATCTTTTTATCTTTATATTAGTACTGTACTTCATGAGAGGGAGGGCAAGATGATAACCTGCTGGAGGATGAAATTGTGGGCTTGTAGTTCCATGTTTACAGATGCTATTGTATAAATCCATTTCGAGTTAACTACTTATTCTAACTGAAGAGTAAGAAAGTCGATTACATTTGCCTAAAGCAAGAGTAAAGCTCAACATGAGATACATGACAAAATTAGGTATGCATGCAAATGGTTAAAGTGCCAATGGTGAGTAAATACATGAGAGCAGCATGAACAATTGTTAGTCTTTTCCATGTTACTTTTTTTTTTAATTGCATGTTTCTCATCTAGAAAGTAGAGATTACTCTTGCCTTGTTAAGCGAGGTGTGCACTTAAAGTTTAGAACATTAATTTTCAGTTTTGTTTATTTTGATGCTGTATGGTTTGCCTTTCCCTGCACTGTACTGGTATAAATGATCCTAGGTTTGCATTCTGTCATTACAGGTTAAGAATATTGGCTTCACTGGGGTTTTCAGGATCATTTTCAAGCCATTGGTGGATGTGTTGCCATGCTTCGGGGCTGTTTGCTATTCTTTAAGGGAAAAGGTGGGTTGCATGCTTCTTATTTAGAGTTTGCAGCTTGAAACATGACTTCTTTAATTGCGATCCGGTACAATGCTTGACATACTGTTTGGTGCAGAAACAAATGGATTTTACCTTGAAAGTCGTCGGAGGTGACATATCAACTATTCCAGGATTATATACTGCTGTTGAGGTCCAACAACTTACTCAGCTTGTGATTTTGTTGAGTGGTTATATTAGTGCACAATCAAGTACTAAGTAATTCCTCATAAGATGAATTTCTTGAATTAGAGAAATATCCTACTGAAATATTTTTGTAGGATGGAGAACCAGGATTCACGTAGCCGACCCCAAGAATGATGATGATGATGATTCTACTGAAATATTTATTTTTAGTTGTTATTCCTGAAAGTTGGTATTGGTTGAAAGGTGTGATCTAGTGATGCATCTTGAAGTGGTTATTCTATCTCAACCTATATTTTAAATGGTTGTTTCAAACTTGAATTTATTGTCTAGATAAATAATAGAGTGAGGTCTTTCTCAGCTGTTCTATTAGCTTGTTTCACTCTCATAGTCCATTATTTATTGATATTATATAACACAATATTTCTTTGTTTTCATGTAGTTATAGCTTTAGCAGTTCACAACCCACACATGCTCATTTTATCTACAAGTTGCTTACAAAATAGCTTCAAAATGATTTTGGATAAATTTTCACTCTCCACTAGTAGTTTGTGGTGCATCATTCCATGTTTTAATCCATTTAGCTGTTTTTCTTGTGTTGGTAATATAAAGTGTTCTAATATGGTTTGTTTTTCATTTAGGAAACAATAAGAGATGCCATCGAGGACTCCCTAACATGGCCGGTCCGGAAAGTTGTTCCCATTTTGCCTGGGGACTACAGGCAAGCCTTTGAAGGCCACAACTTACTTAGTGATGGTCATTGACTGCTAAATATTGATGTTTTGATTGTTTTTTTGAAATGAAATTGTCTAAACTATATTATTTTTTCAGTGACCTTGAGATGAAACCTGTTGGAATATTGGAAGTGAAACTCGTGCAAGCAAAGGATTTGACAAATAAGGACATCATTGGAAAGTCAGATCCTTTTGCCATTGTTTACGTACGTCCATTACGCGACCGGACGAAAACTAGTAAAACAATTGTGAGTGCTCATTTGTCATGTTTGCATAGTTTTTTGGGGTTTTGTGCTTTGTTTTTAGTTCTAATATGTTATCATTGCGCAGCGTTTTGTATTTTAGTCTTTTAGCTCTAATATATTATCATTTTGCAGAACAATGAGTTGCATCCTATTTGGAATGAACACTATGAGTTTATAGTGGAAGATGTATCTACTCAATATGTAACCGTAAAGATTTACGATGATGAAGGGTTACAGCCACCTGAACTTATTGGCTGTGCTCAATTTCCATTAAAGGACCTTCAACCAGGGAAGGTGAAGGATGTGTGGTTAAAGTTGGTCAAAGATTTGGAAGTTCAGAGGGATACTAAGTATAGGGGTCAGGTAGGAATCCTATAGATCAAGAAATATTCCTGGTTTCCTTTTTTGACATGTTTCACCTTGGTGATATGCCATACATTCATTTCCCAGAGCACTATGATACTTTTTTGTTTTAATTTTTCAAAAGACTTGCAGATTATTTTGGTGTGATTAGTTTATTATCCAAGGGCTTAGAGTTTCGTTCCCTGACCTTCAACACTGGAAGGTAGCTTATCTCTTCTTGCACAATATGGTAGTAGATCACAACCTAAAATCATCAATTTGACATGATACATAGGGGTTGCAGCGGGTCAGTTCCGGACCTGACTGCACCTGGATCCGGACCCAGACCTGACCCAAAAATAATTTTTTTTTTTTTATATATATTTAAATATCATATTGGATATATTCATGTATTATTTTATAACTAAAAACATATAGTTATATTTATTTTAATATTATTAAAATATTATTTAAATATTAATACTATTCGGGTCGGGTCTATATGGACCCAGGCCCGAATAGTGTTCGGGTTCAAGATTTAGACCTGGATCCGACCCACCGGGTCCAATTTTTGGACCCATACCCGGACCCGGGTCAGGTCCGGTCATTGGGTCCTGTCGTTGGTTCCGAGGTTGGGTCGGGGTCCATTGCCACCCCAAATGATTTATTTATTTATTTGTTTTCATCTGAAAAATGCCAAATGAATTTCTTTATTGAACTCCAATTGCGTAGAATTTTCGCCTACTATTGTTCTCACTTACTAAATGTTTGTGTAGTTTAAATCTCTTTTATTCTTAATTGGGGCAATCAGCACACTTAGTTCATATGGCATTAATAGATGCATTGTGATCTCCAGGTTCTGGGTTCAAGCTTAGCTTACATTCTGGAAAAAGAAAAATAATGTTCTCTCTTTTTTGTATTAGGATCTCATCTATTCGATATTTTTGTACTGTGTGGTCTTACCTCTTGGCTCTTATGCCTCTTTATACTTCTTGGCTTAGGTGCACCTGGAACTTCTTTACATTCCTTTTGGCATGGCAAATGGATTTACTAATCCTTTTGCCAAGGCAATGTTTTCCATGACCTCTCTGGAAAAGGCTATGAAAAGTGGCACAGATGGAAATGAGAACACCGATTTGGAGAAGAAAGCAACATCTCTACAAAGGAAAAGAGATGTCATTGTTAGAGGAGTTCTTTCTGTTACAGTGATTGGTGCTGAAGACTTGCCTCAGATGGATCTCATGGGAAAAGCCGATCCGTATGTTGTGCTCCATATGAAAAAAGCAGATATTAAATACAAAACCCGGGTAATCTTTTTGTGCTTGCGCAATGTAGGCTTTAAATCTTTTGGTCCTACTTCTCCAGGCCTAAAGCACCAATACAGTATGTAATTTTACCTTATTTTATATGCTTTTGCAGGTTGTGAATGAAACTCTGAATCCAGGTTGGAATCAAACATTTGATTTTGTTGTAGAGGATGGATTGCATGATATGCTGCTTTTGGTAGTTTATGATCATGATACTTTTGGAAAGGTATTAACCTTGCTTTCAAGTCTCTTTAATAGATTTATAGTGGTTATTTTGGTGATGCTGTGGGAGTTTGATATTACTGGAATCTCCTTCTGTACTCTTTCTTGTTTCAGGTTCAAATTTGTAGCTTAAATTGAAGAAAATGAATGAAATATGTGATGGCTTTCCAAAGCAAATATTTCCCTTCCAAATTGGATACATGCACTTCAGAATTTAAGAGTGTTTTTGAGACATTTATGATACTTAGCAGCAATACATTGAAATGTTCATACTTGCAATTCTTTTCAGAAGCACTGAAACCTGCCTTGCTTTTGAAGAGGAACGGTTAACCCTAACTCTCTTCTTTAGAGGTGTTAATGAGCGGGACGGGCCCAGCATCCTGAGGGGGATCCTGAACCACAAAGATGGATTTCCTCCTATTTTTTGAGCATTATTGATGCAATTTCATTCTCTTCTTGACTATAGATTGCACAGGATTTTTGGAATTTATAAAGCTCTTTTGTCGATTATTTAACAGGGATTTTCAGAAAATCAGTGTTTGCATGTAAATCTGAAACCGGTGGCAGTTTTCTAATAGTTTTAGAGATCATTTGCATTTTGGATCCCCTAAGTTTATAAATGGCATCAAATTTTTCGGTATAATCGAATGATAACCATCTGATTCTTCGCTATAGTTGAATGATAACCATCTAGTTCTTTGGTGCTGTAGGATGTTTTTTTTTTTTTTTGCTTTTCTTTTTTAAGGTTCCCTATGAGGATTGGTTTTTTACCGTTTTAACAAAATGATGTTGTCATCTCAGGACTTCATTGGCAGATGTATACTGACCCTAACAAGGGTAATAATTGAAGTAGAATACGAAGATAGCTTCCCATTGGAGGGTGCGAAATCTGGATGTCTGAACTTGCGTCTCAAGTGGACCCCACAGCCCATTTACCGGGATTCCTAATCTCAGGGGAAAATGTAGCAGCAATCACATCGCACTGTTAAGTATAGAAATTCTCAGTCTCGTCACTTTTGTTAAGAAAGAAACAACACGGAAGACTCATCAATTTTGATTATAGTGCGTTTGAGGTGACATCCAGTAGTGTTCAACGAGCCACATATGGTTTGGATGGTCCCTGGGGAATTCAGGCCAAAATCATTTTATGTAAGTATTTCGAAACTGGTGTTATGTGTTCTTTGAACTTATCTCCACACCCATTTGTGGATTGTACAGTTCATATAGAGAGGCATGACCTTTTATGGTGCTAGTAGCATGGTCCATAGTGTAAAATAAGAATTTTGTTTTCTGATTCATTCCCATCTGTTGTATACAACTTAGAGAGGTGAGAATGACTAAAATGACTGATCAAAATAAAGTAATACAGTGAAGGGGAATAAACTGTTATTATTCTTCATGAAGAGTAAGGGGTGATGACCCTTGATTGTATGCATGGCATAGAATATTTGTTTGTGACTTTAGAGAGGGATATCCAAGGACCTCCATTCTTATCCTATTACCCAGCAGGATCTCTCTCTCTCTCTGTATCTTTGATGAAAACCAGAGTGCAAATAAAACATAGAAAAAGCAAAGCCCAAGACATGTGCTTCATTGTTATTGCCTTGTACGCACTACCGAACAGTATTTTCAGAATTGGAATCAGGGTCCCTGAATTGCCAGCGGGTCCTATTCCTGTTCACCTTCTTCCGCTTTTCCATGTTGACTGCTATATATCCCAAAGAACTTAGAAAAAACAAGAACTGCTGGGTTCCTCAAATTGGAGGTGCTGACTTGCTAAACCTGATCGGAACTGGGTGATTCTGGTTCGGATCGATTTTTGAAAACTTGCTTTAGTGCTCATGAATGGACAATGTTGTGCACTGTCATCCGTTATTATGTTGGCTAAAGATGTCCATCGTGGACCTTTTATATGATTAGATAAGCATCTTCATTACTGATAGGAGCATTTATGCATTTCATTGTTCTTTTGTCTTGCTTTATTTTGGTGGTATTTAGCTGACATTCTTAGGTCTTTAGGATGAAGAGGGCAGGTGTGTTGCATGCTTCGTTAGGAGCTCCCATAGTTTCACTTCTAATCGTGCATTTAATTTAGTTGGAGAGGCCTTGGCTTTACCATCTAAATTACGCCATGGATGAAGAATCTAAAAATGGTTAAATGGTTAGGTTTGCTATGCGGAATAGTTGAATTTTAGTATTTTATTTTGGTGCGGGGAGAGTGTGTGAGTTTGCTTCAGCTTAGTTGCTAGTATTGTTAAAAATATATATATGTATTGGTGACGCGGATTGTCTATCCTGAACTGTGGTTCGGACCGGTGATCTGGTTCAGTGGATTGGCTAGATCAACCTGATTTGATTTTAACGTAAATATTAGAACTCGTAAAATTATTTTTTTGAGTTTCAGAAACAGATAATGGGGGATGTGTTTTGGACTTATTAAGATTTTAATAAATGAATATTGAGATGCCGTTTCTTGTTTGAGTATCTATTGATTTCACTTTGATACTAATTTTGAGACAATTTTTTTATAAAATTTGTGATACTTGTTTTGTGATTTTTCTTGAAGAGATGAGAGAGTGATTTTTGTGGTTTCTAACACTAATTACGTGATATTAATTGTGATTGTTTATACTAATTTCATTTTATCTTTTTATTATTTGCTGTACTTGATCCTAATTTTGATTTTTATGAATGGCTCTTCTCTTTCACATACAAAATTGATCTTATTTAGGCAAATATTTTTAATCTTTCTTTAAAAAATCTTTATCGCTCTCTCTCAAATTCATCTTTATTTATGCAAATGTTCTTCAGAATTCAATGCACAACAATTTCTAATTATTCATGATTTTTGTACATAGCAAATTGATGGGTATTTAGCACACCTAGCAAACAAAGTTTCTTTTATAATGGTCATTTAGTGCTATTTGGATCTTAAATTTTTTTTAAAAAAATAAAAATTCCCAAATAAACTTATAGGTTAGGTTATTCATATATATGAATATTTCATTAATATACTCAAACATTTTTGGATGCTCTTTGCCTTTTAATGCCTTTTTTATTTTAGTAAGGTCATTTTTTGTTGGTAAGATAGATGTTTCTATATGAAATTAATGATATTTTACCAATGGTTAAAGAGGCAAATTGTTTCATGTAAGTGATGTGGCAATTCATGTAGGTGATATGATCATTTACTGTAGTTAATAAATGTGTTTTTTTTTTATCAAGAGTTTTTATTTTATTTTTAATTAATTATTTAAAATATTCAATATTTTTAGATACTTATTGCTTTTTGTTTTGTAATAATTTGTTTTTTTGGAGTAAGGCAATTTTTTGTCATTTGGAGAGGCAAGATAAGATATATATTTTTATATGAAATTAATGATATTTTACCGATGGTTAAGAGGCGCTCATTGTTTTATGTGAGTGATGTGAGAATTGAGTGATGTGACAATTCATGTAGGTGATCTGATAATTTCCTATCATTAATATATGTTTTCGTCTTTTATCAAGAATTTTTACTTTGCAAAAAATTTATATAAGGATGTTACTTTATAAGGTAGAACTATAGTTGCTTTTCAAAAATCCATTGAAAAAAAGGTAGTTTTAATGTTAAAATTCTTGATTGATCATCTCGACATCGAGATGTATGATTATGAAAAATAAAAAGATTTTAAGTTTGAAAAATAGTGTATTTTACAACATATTATCTATACACCGTTCATTTTCAAGATTTTCATATCTACTTGATTTTTAACCATTTTTGAAATTTAAAATTTCATATCTATTTTTAACCATGTTTGAAATTTTAAATTTTATAATTAGATATAAAAATAGATTTAGAGATAATCATAAGAACATTTTACATCAAAATTATATACTATGATAAAATTTGAAGGTGTACTTTATCTTTACGACGGATGCATGCCAACTGCACTTTTTGACTTTACTCCTAATTAATTACTTAAAACACCTTTAAATTAAAAAGGCAAGCTTTTTATGTTTCCCTTATGGCATAAAACTTATATACTTTCTTTTATCCAACCATCCATTCTGAATGGAGGGTTAAGATTGCCCCAATCAATGTCATGTGTTTGTATTATTTTATTTCTAATGTTTTTTATATAAATTATTTTGACGCCAAATTTTGTATGTCCAATCTTTTGTTAAACTCGCACTAGCAAAAAATATAAAAAAAATATTTTCAATAAAATAAAATGAGCATTCAAGGTGTATTTTGGTCATGATATTTATTAAAAAATTATTTTTAATATTTTTTATAGGTGCGCCCCAATAAAAAGATGGCACGTGCCAAATTTCATATCCATATAATTTGTATAATAAAATAAAATAAAATACTTGGGACGTCGGATTTAAGATCAAACGAAGAGTGACTCTTTTGATCAAAATTGGATGGCTAGATGGTAGGGGATGCACACATCTTCTATCATGTAAAAAGGAAGTATAGAAACCTTTTCCAAATTAAAATGTTACTCATGTTTGGGTACCTTAAAGACGTTTCTCTAACATAGACTTTAACTATTTTACCCAAGGGAGGAATTATATGATATATATACTTTCGGGGGAACAATGCAACACACGTTCATAAACTTATCAATATTTACCAAAAGCAGTTTCATTTCAATGTTTATTTAGTTTGTTGTGAATTTTCTTCTGAAGCCTAAAATTATTTAGTTCTTTCAATGAATTAATTCACAAGCAAATAAATCTATTAAAAAAATATTTCTAGAAAATTTTGAACTTATAATTTTAAGGGAAATTATAGTTAATATACTTTAATTTTAAGAAAATCGTAAAAAAATCCTCTAACTTCTCAGACCCTTTTTTTTTCAATTTTTGAGATTTTTTGAATGAAAATACTTTTTACGGTAGTCTTTTTACTGTAATACATTTTGAATGTGTGAAGATACATTACGGTAATTTAAATACCGTAAAGAATATTATGGTACCGTAATACATAAATATATTATTCACGGCATTCTTAGTAACGTACTGCTTTGAAAAGCTTCAAATCGAAGTTAGTATCAGGGTTACCCTTTTTTAAGGGACACATTTTTTTTCATAAAATCCCAAAAATTTATCTCTAATATTTTATTTTTGAATAAATATTTAGTAAAATTGGAACAAATTCGAGCTTTTTTTTTTTTCTTAATATATATACCATATGCAGATTACCCACCACCATGTGGGTATTTTGCAGAGAAAAAAAATGGTTCTACAAATTCCTAGAGAGAGAAAGAGACTCTGGTGGGCAAGTAAAGACAAATTTGCTCTTGATTCTCTGGGTCAGGAAGGGGCTGATCATCCTGTTAAAGGCGAGGTACCACCATGTAACATTGATAAAAACCTAGATACCAACAATTGGTCTTTAAGATTATGGAAACCTAATAAAAATCGCGTAGGAGACCAGAGTCTCTTTCTCTCTCTAGGAATTTGTTGAACCATTTTTTTCTCTGCAAAATACCCACATGGTGATGGGTAATCTGTATATGGTATACACATTAAGAAAAAAAAAAAAAAAAGCTCGAATTTGTTCCAATTTTGCTTTGTATTTATTCGAAAATGAATTATTAGAGATAAATTTTTGAGATTTTGTGAAAAAAATGTGTCCCTTGGTTTTGATTTCACAGAGCGCGGGAGGAGAGAGGTAGCGCTGATATTAGCTTCAGTTTGAAGTTTTTCAAAACATTATGGTACTAAGAATGCCGTGAATAATATATTTATGTATTACGGTAATTAAAGTACCACAATGTTCTTTACGGTATTTAAATTACCGTAATGTTCATTACGGTACTCTAAGTACTGTAATGTTCATTACAGTACTCGAAGTAACGTAATGTATCTTCACGCATTCAAAATGTATTACGGTATAAAGACTATTAACTTCAGTTTGAAGTTTTTCAAAGCATTACGGTACTAAGAATGCCTGACATTAGTTTCAGTTTGAAGTTTTTCAAACCATTACGGTACTAAGATTGTCATGAATAATATGTTTATGTATTACGGTAATTAAAGTACCATAATGTTCTTTACGGTATTTAAATTATTGTAATGTTCATTACGGTACTTGAAGTACCGTAATGTATCTTCACACATTCAAAATGTATTACGGTAGAAAGACTATGATAAATGGTATTTTCGTCCAAAAAATCTCAAAAAATTGAGAAAAAAGGTGTGGACGAAGTTTTGAGAAATTGAAAGTTTTTTTGTGATTTTCTTAAAATTAAAATATATTAATGATAATTTCCCTATTTTTAATAGAGCTTATTGTCAAATGATATCATTGATATATCTACTCTAATACACTATAAATTTTCTTCTTTTCATACATTGCATAGGTCCAAGGCTGGTTTTAAAATTAGGGATTGTATAGTATGAGACTATTTATATTTGTTAAAAAGACATCACGAATACTCCTAATAAACTAGTTATAAAACTGAACGCCTTGGGTTTGTTATGAAATTTGAGGAATTGCTTTTTTCTTAACTTTGAGTCTGTCGGCCAATTCAAAATCTAATGGATGAGAAATTGTGATCTTCTCGTACTAAAATACTAAAAGTAAATAATATCCTTATATACTTTTTTAAAAAAAGTATCATGTGGTTTCATAAAACATTTGGAGAGAGAGAGCTTTGGAAAGGTAAAAGGTTAGTCCTACATCGAAGACATGGGATGGACGACAGAGCCCAAGCAACTTTGAAAAGGGTGTTTTGCCATTTGAAAGCGTTGAGGTATGGTAAGGCACTCACATGTATGGCCAGGTGGGAACCCAAGCTTTATTAAAAGGGGAAAATTACAACAACAAAAAAAAGCCCAAAAAAAAAACAAAATGAGACTCTTTCTAGACAACTCAATACAGTTTATTTTTAGAAATTTTTACCCCAAATTAAACTTTTCAAGCAAAATATCTGTCCAAATTAAAATAGTCAATTTTTTTTTTTGATAAAAATGCCTATAATGCTTGACCGCCTCCATTTTCATTTTGTGTTGAATTGCATGCCTGAAGTGCCGGATCTCATGTTTTTCAAAAGCAAGGTGCTGGACTACCCAATTTGTAGCAGACCGCATGCTTTCCAGAAGCAAAGTGCCGGACTGCCCCCAATTTGTGTCGGACCTTATGCTTTCCAGAGGGTATTTTGATCTTCATTTTACCTTTTTTAAACCTTAGAGGGTATTTGCTTTGGTCTTCATTTTTCCTTTTTTAAGCCTTAGAAGGTATTTGTTAGAAAAGTTAAATTTTAAGTAAAACGTGAGAAAAAAAGTTTGGTTTGAGGTAAGTTGCATATGAAGTCTATTCTTGAGAGTTATTTTTCCCCATTAAAAACTAAGAAAAATTCATCCATAAACTGACGAGGAAGAGGTTGCCAAATAAAAGGTGGAGTGGTTTGCCTTTTGTGAAATTAAAAGAAATAATTTGAATTTTTTTAAAAAAAAGTGGAAACCCAACTACTTTATTGCTAGAACTAGCCAATTATTTTCTTGATAAAACTAGTCGGATCCGTCAAAGACTAGATGGTTCTTTTTAGAACTAACCAATTCTTGATCTATTAATCTATCAAAGACTTGACGGTTCTTCTCGAACCAGCCAATTCTTGATGTATTAAACAAATATGGTTCTTTCTAAAACCAACTAATTCTTTATGTATTAAAAGAACCACCATGCTTTTAACTACTCTTGATCTGGGTTTGCTGATCTAGATCCGGATCAGCAATTTTTAAAACCCTGGTGGCTATAGAAGCTTCAAATCTATGATCTTGTCTCGACTCAAAATCTTATTCTACCTAATTCAAAAATTAATTGAAAAAAAAAAAAGTTTTTGCCTAACCCAGCTTCAATAATACGCACCTCTCTCACAAAAAGTAAAGCCTAATATATAATTTATAAATTACCACTGTCAAGTATTTCAAGACCTTGTTTAAAATGCATCAAGGACACTATAACTTTGGCTTAGCTAATATAGAATATGAATACAAACAACTCAAGAAGATAACTACTAATTTAAATGGCAGGCTCTTCTAAAATAAGACTACATAACAGAATGTGGTAATCAAATTTTCGAAAGTTTTAGTGTATTAAGCACCTTTTCCATCGAAGTTGTAATAGCTGGAAGTCGGTTTTCTCTTATTATATGTAGAGCGAGAAAATGAGTACTCCCCCTTTAATGTTCACTGAGATTAGAGGGAGCAACACAACTTTGAATCAATGGAGGCCAAGCATATGGATAAGGCCTGGTAACCACTCAAAGGAAATCTGCACATTGAGAAAACCCCGATCATCATCATCATCGTCAAAGCTTTTTTTCCAATTAATTGAAGTAGGCTATTGAGAGAACCCCAATCATCATCATCATCGAAACCTTTTCTCAATTAAGTGAGGTCGGCTATTAAGAAAACCTCATTTCTCAATTAAGTGAGGTCGGCTATTGAAAAAACCCCAATCGTAGGGGTAAATGAGATGGCTAGCCCCTTGAAAAGGGTAAGAAAACATTGCAAGAATTAACATGAACACAATAACTGAGCACTTCCAAATCCATGAACTATGCTCACCTGTAGTCCATCACATATTTGGACTTGCCTATCTTCCCAAGGAGAAGAACACATTTCCTTCCATTCTCACCCTACTTCCACATAAAATGAAACAGAGTTTCCATGTGTGAGAGAGAGAGCGAGCCACCGCAAAGCATTGCCAATTTGCTCAATTAGGTTACCTGCATTACAAGTTGGAAATTCTTTGCTGATGCTTGAATCTGAATATCTGATCTGCTTCTTTCCCTGAAGTCGAGCTCATAACACTTCGAGTTCTGGATGAGAAATAATGTAATGCTTAAACAAAAATTTGACAGTGGAAAAGAGAACACAGGTATCTTCATTTTAACAGGCTAGGCAAATATGGAACTTCTAGACGATACCATCCAAACATATTCGTACTGATAAACATATTTCACTATGGAGCAGCTGTGTCTAAGAACATAAAACTGTGAAGTTACTCCGAATTTGGATGCTAACAAGGGTTTTCGTCGACATCTAGTAGGTGCTTGATCTAGTGCCCTAGATTTCTGAATTGGAAGAAACTGGTATTTCCAGTTTTCATCCAGAAACAAAATGGTAGTGTAGCATTCAGAAGAGGCCTTAAAAGCTTATTTCATTTGGCCAATTTGAACTAGAAGGATGAAACAGTAACTTTAAGAAAGAAACAACCTACTTTATTGTAACTGGGGGATTTAGAAAACAACTGGTGCACTTTATGCATGTCCTCCTTCCAGTCCTTCGGCAAGCCCTTTGAATTCTGCATCTGCAGCCATATGCAATTGATGTCTGAAACAACTCGGGAGTGACAAATAAGAATGTAGGAAGTGTGTGTGCATTTTACGTGTGTGTGAGAGAGAGAGGGCTATCATAGCTTTGCAATACGCCATTGGTTTTGACAGAAGACAAAGCTTTACATGTGATCTCACCCACATATAAAGTACATGTAACCCCTGCTCTCAGCCCTCAGATCTAAGTAGGCTGGGCCCTGGCTTGAGTCAATGTCAAAATTTGGCTCCAGAGCATTGGATCTTAATCCCACTACTCAGTCTTTTATTTTAAATTTTTATTCTATAAGTTATTTTTCAGCAAAATTTGGGGCATGCATACATTTTGAAGGTTGCACATGATAAAATAATAAAAAAGTATTTCCTTTGATGAAAAATTATCAAAATACGCTTAAAACATTCGAGCCATTTTGGTCATTTATTTTCACTATATATAAAAAATAAAAACAAAGAGTATTTGCCGTGACATTGTGACATGGGGAATTCTAGCCATCCATTGAGACCAAACGGCTGAGAAGTAGGGTCACATGTAATGTATATGGCGATGGGGTCACATTGAAAGCTTTCCATTGACAGAAATCCTACTTTGTTATGCAGATATATTTACAAGGTGTGTCGACGTCTATGTCAAATCCTCTAAGGCATATGCTAATCACAAAAACTGATGTTTTGGTCCATCATAAACTCTAAACCTGCAATTAAACAACCAAAATCTGACTTCTTTGAACATCCAAATCACCTGAGAAGGGTTCCTCGAGTGCAGCATCTGATGCTTCGGGATGTAAGCTCGCATCCTTCTAAAACTCCCAGTCAGAGTGGCTATGGTGGGCCTGAACCTGAACATCACAAAGATACATTAACTTCACTGAGTTCTACATTATATTTCAAGTTGTCTTTTATCTCCCTATTATTTAGAATGAAAAACGCATTTTTCATCTTAGTTTCAAGTCTAACTGTTCAAACATATTGATGCATTATTATGCAGCAGAGAGAGTCTTCGAATTTACATGACGATAGCGAGAAGCTTCTTCGAATCTTCTCTTTGCAAATGTGGGCATGTTTCCTGCAAGAAGCTAACAAAATCAAACAATTAAGCAGATATCAAACATAGTTATAAATGCAAAACTATTGTTTTCAAATCAAACAATTGAACTGGCCAAGAGCTAGGTCCAAATAAGCAGTAAACTGGCCTGTTCAACCGGCCTAACTGTGCAGGTCTTGAGTCTTGACAGGTCCAAAAAGTGTTAAAAAAACTGAAAACAATACAAAAAAATATGACAAGTATATTTAAAGCATGATTAAATAAAGAACATCCAAATGAAGTTGAAAAGTAGTGAAAAAAAATATTTAAAAAATCGAATTGTGCCCTGGGGTATTTTTTATTTTTTTTAAAAAAAGATGGAAAAAAATGTAAAAATAAGTATTCATGGCCAAAATACTTTTCAATATTTGCCAAAATGATAAAAAAATTCAAAAACATATTACAAACAAATACCTGATTTTTTTGGTATTTTGTATTTTTTTTTAAATTTTGTTTAAAATACCCGGCCAGAACATGAAAACTGAATAGGCCGGTTTGACCGGCCGAGTTTGCGAACACTGTGTCTTAGTAAAAAAATCCATGCACCTTCTTATCAGTGACATTGTTTTTCTATTTAGTAATCTTGAGTTTTTTCTTATGCCAATCATGTTTTATTATTGGAACTTATTGGAAAAGAAAAGAAAAAAAAGATGGGTATCTTATAGAGGCAGCAAATTCACATAATAGATTGAATTCCTGAGCACTGAGTTATCACCTGGTCCCAAATATGATATTGAGTGCCCATGAGATTAGCAGTCACAGTTCCATGGAAACCTTCACTGGATGTAGACTTGAGGGCCTCCAAGTTTTGGGCTAAAATGAAGTGGGATCTTCCATTTTTCCTTTGGTGCTTCGCAATTGCCAGTTTTCGGTTCTCTCGCCCTCTGCCCTCCTACAATGTCCACCATTAGTCTGTTACAACACATTTGAATTTTCATATAGAGAGAGAGGGCCTCTAATAATTGGCTTTGAGAAAGAGAAACTGCTAATTGTATGTGTCTGTAAATTAACTGGCATCAAAGAACTGGGTTGAAATTGAAGCTTACATCAGTGTAAAGAGAGTACAGAGAAGCTCCTTGAAGCCTTTGTGATCTCTCTTGAACTATATAACAAGTGCAACATTCAATATCCCTCGGAAGAGGATGGTGAAGCAGGGCTCTGTGAACATATACGAATCAAAATATGAAATATGTTTAAAACTTGATCATAAATTGGTTTGGTTACTATTAATCTGTGGTTAAATTTCAGATGAAGCTTAAAAGCTTCTCTGAGAAAAATGGCATCACTTGAAGTTCCATATGGGAACATGAAAAAGTATCAATTTTCACTGGAAAATAGAAGCAATAAACTCCACAACTGTTGACACTAGTTCTTGAAAGATATTGAATGAAATTATGGGTCATTTTTATGCAAAGGGGATTTTGCTCCCTCTAAAAAATGCACCAATATGAAGTATTAGAGAGAGAGAGAGAGAGAGAGAGAGAGAGATGTTAGGTAGGGTGGAGGAAGTATCAGGGGCTGCTACACCATTGCAGTCCCACACAGACCTTGATTCTTTATGAATCATTGGAGTCTTAGAAAACCCAATTCTTGAATCACTCTCCTTTCTCTCTCTACAGGGTTCAAGACCCATTTTTCTATCGCTGCAAGCGCCATGACTCTGCAACTTAGGCCTCTTTCCTCTCTCTTCTGATTTACTATCCTTCAATCGCTCCTCCTTTGAAGACATAACAGTGTCCTTCCGCAACTCCATCCTGAGTTCCTCACTGCTATCCAACTCACTGCTATCCCCATGATTGAGCTCACTGAGTGGATTGAGATATAATGATCTATAGGAACGCAAACCAGTGTTCAAGAAATGAGCCTTGTTTTGGAAACCCCACATTTGTGCAGACGAGTTTAGTGTTTAGATCGATACCTTGTTCCCGCAGGATTTGGTACTATAGACAGAGAGATAGAATCCTAGACTTGTTACTTTATTATGAGGTGGGTGTTTCATTTAGGAGAGAGAAGAGAAGAGAAGAGAAGAGAGACGTACTAAAGGGGTTAGAGAGAGAGAGTACTTGCACTTACTGAAGGGGTTTTACAGAGAGGAGGGACGGGACAGAGAGTGTGTTGTCTTTGTACTTACACTCCCCCTGAATGGGCAATGCGGACAGAGGGGTGCAGTTGGCATACGGATGCATTCGTAGCTGTTGAGGTATTGTGGAGCTTCAAATTTTATCATGTTATATAATTTTGATGTAAAATGTTATTAATATTATTTTAAATTTTATTTTTATATTTAATTATAAAATTTTAAATTTTAAAAATAGTTAAAATTAAGTAGATCTATAAACATATGAAAATCTTGAAAATAGACTGTGTAAATAATGTGTTGTGAAATACACTATTTTTTAGACTTAAAATCTTTTTATTTTCCGTGGTCATACATCTCGATGTCGATATGATTAATTAAAAAACTACCTTTTCCGATGGATTTTTTAAGTGCATATGTAGTTCTATGTTATAAGGTTGCATCTGTATATAAACTTTTTCCAAAAATTCTAGACGATATGGTATGGGGATTGTATGCAATGAGAACATTTATTTTTGATATATGGTAGTTATAATTACTTACAACTATCTCATGTGAAATTTGATAGTTTGGGTGTGTCATAAAGTTTGAAAAAATTTCTTTTAGAAATTTGAGATTGATCAATGAAAGAATTACAGCCACCTAATTTCATATTATGGTCAAAATTAATGTGACCACCTTGTACTAAAGATAAATGATCTCATCATATGCTTTTCTTATGATTTATACGCACCATGGATCTTCTCGAGGAGAGAGACGGTTGAAGCATATGTCGAGAGAGTACAGAAATTATCCCATGCACTAATTGGGAGTTTGAGAGAGAGAGGTGAGCACGGACGAGAGTCAATTACATCTACGCACAAAAAAAAGAACAAGGCAAAACGCAAAAAGAGTTGACTTTAAATTACACCGGATGTCTGTTATATTAGACTATTTAAATTTGTTTAAAAATATCTATCGATTCGAGGATACCATCTTCATATTGATTTTAAGTTTTTCTTTTAGTTTTTTTCATTATATTACATATTTTAGGACAGTTGACAACCAGTCCGAGATCTCCATTCTTGGACCGCCCAAACTATGGCTGTGTTATACCACATTATAGATAGCATGAGAATGGAGATCCAACTACTTACATAGGTGCAATCTAGCTAGTAGTTTGAGGTCCCCATCCCAAGACCACCCATTGTGGTGTTTGACCGTATTATAGGCAGTTGGAGGATAATGTGATGTAACACTACAATCTGGGTAGACATCGAATCGTCTGTGATATGATGTTAGACCACAATGTGGGCAGTTCGAGTATGGCGAGCTCAAACTGGCCACCAATTGTCCTAAAATATAGGACACAACAAAAAAACTTATAAAAAAAGAATTAAATTAAAACCAGTCTGGGGATAGTATTCGAGCGAGGTGCATTTTGGAAAAATTAAAAAAATCTACCGTAATCGACCTTTTTTATACTTTTTTTAAGGAAAATTATTTCATGCGGGCTAGACCGTATTTATACAATATATGGTCCAGAGATATAAAGCATCCATCTTACATATGGATGCAAATAGGTGGTCCAACTAAAACAATTGTAGATAACGGTTCAAATATTTTTTTAATATAATAATTATTTCTAGTTTTTAATTTTTCTTTTTTTTCATATTCATGATCTTCATGGTAAAGTTTATATATAATTTAAAAATTAAGATCAAATTATATTTAAAAAATATATTTATTGTCACGCCCGTATTTCTACCGTATGTGGGCTAGTCGCATAGAAACCATGTCCTTTTTTTAATCAATTTAACTTTTTTTGTATTTTTTTTTTTTTTGGACGTAATTGGGTCCATGGAGTAAGCAGGCGAGTTTTGTGTGGCCCTAGTTCTTCACCTGGCCTCGGGAATGATAGGTTCTCACCGTTAACAAGGAGCCCACATGCATGCATACCATCCAAAAACACTGTTCCAGTGAGTAAGAGTACAGATAAGAATTTCAGAGAGAGCAAGCACATATAGACAAGAATTTTCAGATCGAGAAAGATGTGCTAAGAAAAATCGAACAGTTAACCGAACTTGGGGCCGGAAGCGGTTTAACTGGTCTTATTAGTGAACCGGCTGGTTCAACAGGCCTAATCGAGCAAGTCCTGCACAATCAAAAAAGTTTTAAAAACACAAAAATATAAAAAATATATTTAGAACATAATTAAAAAAAACACATCCAAATGAAGTGAAAATTAGTGAAAAACATGGATTTTAAATAATCAGTTTTTACCTAGAAGTATTTTTGAAATTTTTAAAAAAAGAAGAAAAAGTAAAGATAATTATTAATGATAAAAAAAAATTTCCACTCTTTGTTAAAATGATGAAAAACAATAAAAAATAAATTATAAACAAAATTCCTTATTTTTTGAGATTTTATATAATTATTTTTAAAAAATTTTAAAATATTCCGGCCGGGTAACTAAAATCGGCCTAAACCAAAATCAGAACTGGCCCGTTCCGATTAACCAGGGGTTAAAGTTCTAACCGCCGGATTTTTCCTGCGCGTTGAGAAAGAGAGAGAGAGAGAGAGAGAGAGCGCATAATTGTGTAATGCATCCCTGGGTCGTGGTCCCAGTCCAAGCAACCAGCTAATTCTCCTCTATATCGAGAGAGAAAGAACCAACGTGTGTAGAAACCTCTTGCCATAATGGGCCTGGTATGAGCTGTTGACATAATACGAGTTTGTAGTCGGGGTGGCCACGGGCCCACGCTACCCATGGCCCTAGCTAAGCCCCAGTCCCAATATGGCCGGTATAGGTCCAGCCAGGCCTTAACCGGACCAAAAAGGCCTTGGGTCAAGCCTGGCCCAAAAGGCCAAGTTTGGCAAAGTAAAATTGAAAGAAAAACAAAAAAAAAAACAAAAAAATAAAGTGTCGGGCCGGTGTTGGCCCAGGCTGGGCACGACACTACCCTCAAGCCGTGGTTGCCCGGCCCTTTGGCAACACTTTGTGGCCCGGCAACTAGTTTTTTAGGGCCAGGCCAGCCGACCGGCCCATTGCCACCCCTAGTTTTTGGTTTATATGGAATTTTTTATTTTATTTTTATCTATGTATGTTTATATTATGCAGTATGAGTTCACTTTTGTTTTTTTCGAATGGAGCCCCACCTTGGCTGTCGCATTTTCTGATTTTACTTTTTTTTGGTCCAAGCGCTTCTCTCCTTCTCTTCTGTCCATTTCGTTTATTATTAAAATCCATCGGACCAGAATTTCATGGCACTTTATTTGATAGATTCTAGATGAATGATTGAAGGGTTTGTTCAAAAAATGATAAATGATTGAAGGGAAATATTATAAAGGTAATTGATTAAAGGGGAATAGGTTTTTGCTGAAAAAGTTTATAGACGTTGAGATCCTAAACATTCAAACTAAGATGCACCTAAAACTTCACTGGAAAAAAATTATTCGATGCCCAAAAGCCCTCAAATCCGATCATCTTGATTTTGAGATACCTGAACATAAAAAAAAAGGGACATCAAGTCTTAGATATATTGCATCTTGTAATGCATTATCTAAACCATCAATTTTCAAGATTTTCAAGTGTCCAAGGATCTACTTCATCTACTCTATTTTTGAATCTTTAAATATTTTAATTAGAGATGAAAGTAAATTTTCAGGCCATCATAAAACTTTTCGGTACGAAAATGATATCTTTCAATATTTTTTAAAGATGCACATTATTATGATTGTTTAGCACCTTAGCCTTATACAAAGCTCACCCAATATCTTGTGGTTTTTGCAATAATTTAAAAAGTTTCTTTTTTTATTTTCATGGTTTATACTTTTTTTTTTTTTTTTTTCAAATTACCACTAATTTGAAACTCTAAATTCTTAATCGGTTGGTAAATGAAAACTCAATTTGGAACATGAAATTTTGAATCGACCTCTGGATAAGGGGAAAACAAAAAAACAAAGACCCCAATTTGGACTTGGAGTTCACTGAGTATTAGGAAACTAGAAAACCCCCCAAAAAAAAGGTCATTAAATGTAAAATATGAAAATATGGTCATTTTCTAAATATGACAAAAATTAAATAATATTTATGAAGAATTTTAGAGTGAGAAATAAACTTTTGAAAAAAGTAATTATAACACACTATTTATCGTGGTAGTTCTTTTATTGTATATATAATAGTGATACAATGATATAAATGAACACTTTCCTATATTGTTACATACAATATACACTTTCCTATCTTTTTAGATTCTCTTAAAAAGAAAGAGTAATATTTTTATGGCTGCCTTTCCAAAACTAGGAAACAGTAATATTTCTATGGTTGCATTTCCAAAACTTGTTTTTATTACTCCCCCTCAAACTCGGCTGAGGAGGCGTCTGAAGTCCGAGTTTGAAGCAAAAATGTTGAAAAATACCTCAAGGCAATGGATTAGTGAAGATATCAGCTACTTGATTGCGGGAGGAAACAAATCGAGTGATAAGTAACCCAAGAACAACATTTTCTCGCATAAAATAACAGTCTAACTCAATGTGCTTTGTTTCGGCATGAAAAACGTGATTACCTGTCATGTAGAGAGCACTAATATTATTACAAAAAAGCGTTGGCGGTTGAGGAAGAGGCACCCCAATATCCCAAAGAATAAAATAAAGCCATGTCAATTCTGCAACAGTGGATGCCATAAATCGATATTCCGCTTCAGTACTTGAAAGAGTCACAGTCAATTGTTTCTTAGAACTCCAAGATATGCACTTGGAACCAAGATAGGTGCAGAAACTAGTGGTTAAACAGCGAGTATTTGAACACCTAGCCCAACCAACATAAGAGAAAGCATATAACTCAAGGTAAATATCAGATAAAATTCTTATATCACAAGACTGTATACTACAGAGATAACGAAGAATTCCCTTCATTGTCTGAAAATGTACAATTGTAGGGGCATGCATAAATTGACACATTGTATTGACACGATAGGAAAAGTCAGACCGTGTTATGGTAATGTATTGG